TATAAATAAATATATATATATATATATATATATATATATATTATGAAAACCAAAAGTTAAGCAAAAATATTTTAGATACTAAAAGTGAAAATCAGATATATTTCAAAGATCAAAAAAAAATTTAAGTATATTATTAATATATATTCAAAACCTAAAATATAATAATATATAGTTAAATTTGACAATATATTTTTTGGATTAATATGATAATGTCTTCCAAATCCATGAAATAAAGTAAGTGTTTATGTTTGATTGAGGATCTACTTTATGGCATGGTTCTCTGACGAGTCAGTGCACCCCTCGATCAAGAAGGACCTACTTTGCTAGTTGCCTAATAAGTAGAAACCGTATGACTTACTTTGTTTGCTTCATTTTGCTTGGGTTTTTAGTGTTACACTTGATTTATGTACTACTCATTTTACACTTGCCTTTTATAGGATAAAAGGGGGAATGGAAGGGGTGAATTTCTGTCTGTCTTCTCCTTTTCCTTTAAAGATATGTGTAAATGAAATTTATGGAAAATCAAGGTGTGTACTTACGAATAACCTTTGTTTTGTTCCTGTTTTTTTTTTTTCTTTATTATTATTATTATATCATGCAAACCATTATTATAAATTTCACGTTACACGATATGATAAAATTTATGTTAAAGTACAGTTAATTTTACGTTATATATATATATGCAAGGTGTGTTGAATAAATAACCCAAACAGTATGTTGAAACCAATCAGATGCTTGAGGTTGTTGATAATAGGGTTAGCAGTGCACATGCTAGTCAAGTGTTCGAGATTTAATCTTATCACGTGATTCAAATTTTCATATTTCGTACAATTATGAACAATAATATTTTTTTGCCTAAAAGGAACTAGCTTTGAGAATGATCAATAGATCATAATAGGTCCAATTAAAAATTATAATTAATATGGCATTTGTCAGTATTATTAATGGGTTAATAATTCTATAAAACGAGTGTTCATTGGTTGAATCGCTTGAAAAGAATTATTTATTTGTATATGTAATAAATATAGTTAGAGTATCATAATATTTAACTTTAGTGTAGGGGGTTGCTAATATTTGATTTAATAGCTAGGTCTAGATTCCTTTACTTAGTAAGAAAAGCAATTTTCAAAATTAGTCCAACTCGATTTATGACTGGTTCAAAGTATATATTCAGTCTAATAAGCAACATGAACTAACTACTTGACTAGTTCACCTATTCAACTAACTAGCTGGATCTCATTCTAATAGTTCGTTGTCTAATGGCAAATTCATTTCTTCATAATAACGCAATAAATGCCCCTCAAGTGTCAAAATCTTTTATAAGTTTTGATTTTCAAACTTAATAAAGGAAAAACGTAGACCAAACTTTCTTAGTACGTTAATAATGGTCAATTGATTTTGATTGGTATTATGAAAACATAAATGTAGCTGGAAAAGAAAAGAAAAGTAAAGTAAAGAGTGAAAAACAAAATTAAATATTTCTGACACCTACTTTAATGTTCCTTTTTCCTGATACACTGATAGGACTAAAGGAAAACTAGATCTACCACAACAGAGCTAAGAAAAATATGAATTCAGCAATTTCATCATATCCCACACGAAGGTAAAATTGGGTTTAAATACCCTTAAAATGGTCTATGAGACCTTGAAGGAACAAACTGAAATACATGGGCCAATACTGGATCATTAATTCAAATATTAATTAATAATCCATTAAATAATCTTTGGCCCAATAAGGTAGCATTCTGGGCCTGGGCGTTGTATTCCAATCAATGACCCCCGGTTGACTCAGCACCTTTTCCTCAAGGTTGCTACGTGGCATGAGTTGGTTGGCTCCTTGAGAGAAGTCGAGGATTGAAGAAGTAACGGATGGTGAGGATGACTTTGTGTTTCTTTGAATGCCATGGTTCTTAAGTGAACCATGGTCAAGGTTAGCTTGCTCCACAAGTTTTAGCAACAATGGACGGTTAGGCTAAACCTTACCATGGTTCCTAGTGAACCATGGTTAAGGTTAGCTTACACTATAAGTTACATCTCCTTATGTATTTGTAAATCTGACCTAATACCTCACTTTTGATGAATGAATTCAGAAATTCTCGTAAGAACTCTCTCTTCTCTTAAGTCCCTAAACCATGGAGCTTCTCCTCTTGGTTTTCTCTTAAAGGTTTTCAACCTTTGAACTAGGTTCCTCAAGCTTCTTCAAGCTTCTTGAAGTGGCCGAACCATCCAAGTTGCTTCTCTACCTTTGAAGGTTCTTCAAAGGTGTTTCAAGCTTCAAATTGAGTCAACCTCAAGCACTACTAGAAAGTTATTGTTCAACATTGTCAATTCTACATCGGTTTAGGTAAAATCGATGTAAAAATTGGATGCGGTGGCATATTCATAAATATGAGTTGAATATAAAGCAAATTTACATCGGTTATGTACAAAACCGATGTAATTATTGAGCATTTTACGTCATTTTTAATTGGATCGATGTAGATTTGAATACGCGGTAGCAATTTTATAAATATTTACAATCAGGTCTACATCGGTTTTCAAAATAACCAATGTAGCATACCTCGCGTTGAAGCCCTTTCTCCACGAAAACATTCCGTTCAAGCTAGCATCTTGTTCAACATGTACAGAGGAACCCTAAATCCTGTTTCTTCTCTACACGAAGGTTGAAGGTATGATAGGTAATTTAGTTTTGGTTAGGGTTTCAAGGGCTTTATTTTCTCATCTTCATTGTTCTTATTTTGGTTAGGGTTTGGTCGGAATGTCTTCCTCGAAGGGAGGCGCGGGACCGTCTTCGGAGGCGCTAACGAAGTCGATATTGCGCCCATTCTTCGTGTCGCTAACGAAGTCGAAAAAACCTATCCTTCTTATCTCCTAATCTCGAAGGGTGCAACGCGCCGTCTTACGACCGGAACCAGCTTCACGCGGCGGTAGTGGAGTTGTACTGCGCCTGGGGGCCCCAGATTAAGTACTCGACGGTGCAGCATTGGTAAGCTGGGGACGAGCAGGGGAACGGTGGGGTTTACAATTTCGTGACCAAGAGAGGGCTCTGCGCTTGGGCTTCCTCTAAGATATCATGGACGCAGGTTGAGACGGGTTCCGCTATCACGTGGAAGTATCTGAGTATGGTTTTGGAGGGAGATTCTAGCGTTGGGGAGTTTTATTTCGTTGCTTTGACTAATAACCATCAATAGGCGGATATGGGGACTAAGATGATTCACAAAGGGAAGGACACTAGGAGCAGGATTATCTCCATGGGTATATCTGTTGGCCATTCCAGAAACTGTTATAGAGGCCTTGTTCAGGTTCAGTCCAGAGCAGACAATGCGCGTAACTCCTCCCAGTGTGATTCTATGCTTATTGGTGATAAAGCAGCTGCCAATACCTATCCTTACATCCAAGTCCTTTACCCTTTATCTATTTTACTTTTTTGATAATTTCTTTAATGGTTTAGGTGTGTGTATCAGAGGGGAAGGTGACTTTTCATGTCCAGTTCTGTTTAGCTCATGAAATCACAATTGTTTTGCAGGTGAAAAATCCAACGGCAAGAATTGAACATGAAGCTAGTACGTCCAAAATTGGAGAAGATCAGTTGTTTTATTTTCAACAAAGGGGAATATACTATGAAAGGGCAATGGCTGCTATGATATCTGGATTTTGCCGTGATGTCTTTAATGAGCTTCCTGACGAATTTGGTTCTGAGGTGAACCAACTCATGAGCTTGAAACTTGAGGGGTCTATAGGTTAAACCAGCTTGTTAAGCATACTGGTATTTGGCCATTTGTTACTGAAATGGTGCAAGTTCTTAGAGCCAGAGGTAATGTATTTGGAGGGATGTGTACATGTTTTATGTAAACTGGGCTGCAATAGTGGGCTTAAACTTTACCAATTTTCAACCATAATATATAATCACTTTCATCCTATAGTTTTTCTTTTTGATTCACTCTGGATTTATGTTTGCTTATGATTTATACATGTAATTTCATGCCTTAATTCAGTTATTTCTTGAAAAATAATCTTATACTTCAAAAGCTCTTAGGAAGCCAATAGAAATAATTGATTATTTCTCTATAATTAGCTGAACCAAATGTTCTTGTTGTTCTTTCTCTTCTCTTTTTTACTTGCCGTGTCTAAGTGGTTTTTTAACATTCATTCTGTGGAATAATTTTCTTTTTGATATGTGTTGTCCAGCTAATGGTGGAGATAAGAGAAGGTTAGCCAAAGATAACCCAGTGACTAAGGAAGAGATGTTGAGGCAAAAATGTTCACTCAATATCATATAATCCAAAGTATTTACAAGGTGTGGTACCTTGGATATTTATAGGAGTGGGAGGCCTCTAGGGTTGCATTTGGAGAGTGCATGGCCGAAATTCACAATGCCAAATGCACTCCAAATGAAACCCAAATTAACCCTAGATGCAACTTGGTTGCCAAGGATGGAATCTTTGGGTTTAGTTAGGCTACATCTAGGTACATGATAAGACCATGCAACTTTTGCCCTCCACTTGGGCCTAAGCCTTTCTAAGTCCAAAAATAGGTCCAAAACTACCAAAAAATGCGTCACCTCCTAATTAAAACCCTAGCCCAAAAATTAAAACCCTAATCATCTAAAGCACCCCATAATACAAGGGTAAAATAGGAAATACAAAAGAAAATAAGTCCTATGACTAAGATACTCCAAAATAAAAGGGTAAAATTGGAAATACAAATAAAATAAATTATATGACTAAAATACCCCAAAGTACAAGGGTAAAATAGGAATAAAACAATAAAATCCTACACTACTCAAAATGGGCCTAGGAGACACTCATGATAAGTATGGCTCTAGGCGTGGTATCTCCTTCATCCTCCTCCATCCTCCTAGCCATGAACCTAGTAATGGGTCCAACATGTAGTCCCAAGAGTGACCCTCCATCATCCCTTCCTTCTTGAAGAGGATTTGACCTCAAATCTTGAAGTTCATCTATGTCATTAATTCCTAGAAAAGGTGTAAGATCACAAACATTAAATGATGAACTAACACCATAGTCAGAGGGGAGATCTAAAATGTATGCATTGTCATTAATCTTTTGGAGAACTTGGAAAGGTCCATCTCCCCAAGGGTTGAGTTTTGACATCCTTTGAGTATGGAATCTATCCTTTCTCAAATGAAGCCAAACCCAATCCCCAACTTCAAAAGTCACCTTTTTCCTCCCTTTGTGGTTATATTTGGCATATTTTTGGGTTTGTTTCTCGATTTGGCTCTTGACTTTCTCATGGTATTTCTTTATAAAATTAGCCTTTGATACGCCTTCTTTGTGAAACAAAGAAATAGTATTAGGGAGGGGTAGTAAGTCAAGAGGGGTGAGAGGATTAAAGCCATATACAACCTCAAAAGGGGATAAATTAGTAGTCTTGTGGACTACTCTATTGTAGGCAAACTCTATATGGGGAAGACAATCATCCCAAGTTTTCTTATTTCCTTTCAATATGACCCTTAACAATGTGGATATGGATCTATTTACCACTTCGGTTTGCCCATCGGTTTGTGGGTGACACGTAGTGGAATAGACAAGCTTGCTTCCTATTTTTTCCCATAATACTTTCTAGAAATGACTTAGGAACTTCGCATCCCTATCGGACACAATAGTCTTGGTTAGACCCTGCAAACGGACCACTTCCTTGAAGAAAAACATAGCAATGTAGCTAACATCATCTACTTTGTGGCATGGTATGAAATGAGCCATCTTACTAAAACAATCCACTACCATAAAGATAGAATCAAATCCCATTTGGGTTCTTGGGAGACCAAACACAAAATCCATAATAATGTCAACCTAAGGGTAGCTAGCTATAGGAAGGGGTGTATAGAGTCCATGAGGCATTACTCTTGATTTGGCTTGGAGACAAGTAATGCATTTAGAACAATGGCTTTGGACGTCTATTCTCATGTGGGGCCAATAAAATTTTTATTTTAAAAGACTTAGGGTCTTGTCAACCCCAAAGTGGCCCATGAGTCCCCCTTCATGACTTTCCTTGATCAAAAGCTTCCTAATGGATCCTTGAGGTATGCAAAGTTTTCCCTTCCTAAAAAGGTATCCCTCAAGCAAGTAAAATCCATAAAAAGGCTTTTGGAGGCACTTAGAAAAGATGGATTGGAAATCTTGATCAAGTTCATACAATTCCTTTAGATTATCAATTCCAAGGATTTGAGATCCTAAGGAGAAGAGTGATGTATGCCTTCTAGAGAGAGCATCGGCCACTACAATTTTCTTCCCTTTCTTGTACTTTATCATATAAAGAAATTGTTCAAGATATTTAATCAATTTATCATGCCTTTTATTTAATTTCCCTTGCCCTCTAATGTACTTGAGTGACTCATGATTTGTATGAATAATGAATTCCTTAGTCACCAGGTAGTGCTCCCAAACTTGGAGGGCTCTAATGAGGGCATACAAATCTTTGTCATAGGTGGGGTAATTCAAGGTGACGCCATGGAGTTTTTCACTAAAATAGGCAATGAGATGTCCCCCTTGAAGTAGTACGACACCTATGCAAAAAACAATGGAAAAAAAATGACAGATGTTATCCTTGATGAACCTTGGCTCTGATACCACATGATGGAGACCTCCCTTCCATGGTTGATAATGACGTCTTGAAGAGGGTCACCTTGCCCAAGATCTAGGCTCACCAAAGGGAAAGGAATGGGGCGTTTAAGGTGGGAAAGGGAATTTGGGCGTGAGAGAGTGAAGGTGGGCGGAAGTGTATGGTTGCTCAAAGGTGGGTTGGCTCACTCCAAAATGAAGATGGAGGCCACTCTAGGTTTCTCACTCTCCAATGGTGGAGATAAGAGAAGGTTAGCCAAAGATAACCTAGTGACAAAGGAAGAGATGTTGAGGCAAAAATGCTCACTCAATATCATATAATCCAAAGTGTTTACAAGGTGTGGTGCCTTGGGTATTTATAGGAGTGGGAGACCTCTAGGGTTGCATTCGGAGAGTGCATGGCCGAAATTCACAATGCCAAATGCACTCCAAATGAAACCCAAATTAACCCTAGATGCAACTTGGTGGCCAAGGATGGGATCTTTGGGTTTAGTTAGACTACATCTAGGTGCATGATAAGACCATGCAACCTTTGCCCTCCACTTGGGCCTAAGCCTTTCTAAGTCCAAAAATAGGTCCAAAACCACCAAAAAATGCGTCACCTCCTAATTAAAATCCTAGCCTAAAAATTAAAACCCTAATCATCTAAAGCACCCCATAATACAAGGGTAAAATGGGAAATACAAAAGAAAATAAGTCCTATGACTAAGATACCCCAAAATACAAGGGTAAAATTGGAAATACAAATAAAATAAATTCTATGACTAAAATACCCCAAAGTACAAGGGTAAAACAAAATGTCACAAGTCCAACTCCAAAAGCAAAGGTAGTGGTCCAAGTCCACAAGTCTAGCAACAAGTCCTTTTTGGTCCAAAATTTTTTGATTTTTTTTCCTTTTTTTTTGTTTCTATTTTCATGTCAACTTTTTCTTTCCTTTTGGGTCCAAAATTTTTTTTGAATGTTCAGCTCATTTTTTGCTTAGGTTTTGCACTTGTGGGTGGATAGAAAATTAGGTCAAATTTTAAGAAAAGGAGAGGAAGACAAGTGGCGGTTTCTTAGAGGCTTTTAGGGAATCTTTTTGAGTGGAATTGGTTTTGTACCTTTAGCACAAGTTGTTAAGCACCAAATTTTAGCACATCTCTTAGATTCTTTTAGGGTTTTTTTATACAACCAAAATTAGACTAAATTATGTGGAAATGCAAGGAAATGCAAGGAAGTGGGGCAGCAATGCATGTGCAAGGAAGCAGTTACACATGGATAGTCAAAAATACATGGAACATGCTAGGACTAAATAACATGCATGAATGACTCCTAAATGGCATCTATATGTCACGCCCACTTTGTATTATGCAACATGGTACTTTTGGTTCATGTATTCATGCAAGGTGTTTGGCATACATTCATGGAATTTTGTAGACAAAATATAGGAAACAAGACTTGACAAAACTTAAAAAAATTCAAAAATCAAAAAGCATGTTCATCATGTTCATATGAGACTCAAACCTAAAAATGGAAAACCATGGATATCACCTAGCAATGGAAACCTAAAATGTTCAAGGAAGGTTCACAAGGAACAAAATATGAACCCAAAGCATTCAACCACAGAAAGGAAGACAATAAGGAAAAAATGACCGAATGGAAAAAAAATGACAGATGTTATCCTTGATGAACCTTGGCTCTGATACCACATGATGGAGACCTCCCTTCCATGGTTGATAATGACGTCTTGAAGAGGGTCACCTTGCCCAAGATCTAGGCTCACCAAAGGGAAAGGAATGGGGCGTTTAAGGTGGGAAAGGGAATTTGGGCGTGAGAGAGTGAAGGTGGGCGGAAGTGTATGGTTGCTCAAAGGTGGGTTGGCTCACTCCAAAATGAAGATGGAGGCCACTCTAGGTTTCTCACTCTCCAATGGTGGAGATAAGAGAAGGTTAGCCAAAGATAACCTAGTGACAAAGGAAGAGATGTTGAGGCAAAAATGCTCACTCAATATCATATAATCCAAAGTGTTTACAAGGTGTGGTGCCTTGGGTATTTATAGGAGTGGGAGACCTCTAGGGTTGCATTCGGAGAGTGCATGGCCGAAATTCACAATGCCAAATGCACTCCAAATGAAACCCAAATTAACCCTAGATGCAACTTGGTGGCCAAGGATGGGATCTTTGGGTTTAGTTAGACTACATCTAGGTGCATGATAAGACCATGCAACCTTTGCCCTCCACTTGGGCCTAAGCCTTTCTAAGTCCAAAAATAGGTCCAAAACCACCAAAAAATGCGTCACCTCCTAATTAAAATCCTAGCCTAAAAATTAAAACCCTAATCATCTAAAGCACCCCATAATA